CAAGGGAGCAGGAGGAAACGTTCTGTACCTGTGGAAACCCTACAGGGTGGTTATGAGTCAGAACCCACTAGGCTAGTAGGTGGGCAGTGGGTTTGGACTTTTTGTTTATTGGCGGTAGAGACAGAAGTGACTTTATTCAAATGGTCTAGGTTTCCTTTTGCCTGCATTGTCTTAAAACCATCCAGATCCATTGCGAGAGTTGATGTGGTGGCTTGGCTTAAGTGGTGACTGACTCATTTCCACACTGGCAGGAGAATGTGAAGTCTCCCAGGCGAAACACGTCTCCAGAGGGAAACGGATTCTGACTTACAACTTATATTTGTGCATGTTTTGTTGTGTGTGACGGATCTCACTGAGTGTGGCCTGAAGCTCTAAAGAGGGTGCACTGTCTGAATGGGGGGAAACGTGAAATGACATTTGAATTCTGCCTCTTGACGCTTTGTTTGGACATGTCAGTTAAGCATTCAAGAAAGTATTTCCTGGGCCCCTGTTAGACGCTGGACAGAGAACACAGTTTGTTTTTCGTTGTTTTTCTAATTCCTATTCATATAGAGCTTTCATTCTGGTGGGAGATATAAAGGCAAAATCAGGATAATTTACACAGCACATTATCAATAAGCAGAAAATAAAGCTTAGAATAGAGGCAGAGACTATAGGGGCAAGGTGAGAGAAATCTATTTCCAGATGTTTCAAGTATATGAAAGTGTAATGACTAAAAGACAAATTATTCTCAGAGGAGCATTTAAGTTCTCTAAAGAGCTAACTGACTTTTTCTTAAGCTGTTGATTTAAACTACCTTGAGTTCAGGTGAGAAGAAATAAATGTCTATCCCTACTTCCTCTAAGGTTACATAATCCAGCATTTTCAGCTGCCAATAAATGAAGTCAAAGGCGTGCTTGGTGGTGGTGTAGTGTAGGCTGCTAATCATACGGTCAGCAGCTGGAATCCACCAGTCGCTCCTCAGGAGAAAGATAAAGCTGTCCACTCCCGTAAAGACTGACAGTCTCTGAAACCCAAAACCCTACACATAACTGAATCAATGGCAGTAAGAATTGAATCCCAGGTTCTCTGCTGCAGACATGGGATGTACCACTCAGCTGGCCCTATCCCATTAGACACGAAGACTCCAACTTTCTGAATGCACAAGCCACCACTTTGTCATTCTAAAGGGAAGACACGGTGTGAATCTTTTCTGCACGTCTCTTCAAACTCCATCACATAAATAAATACAATAGAGCTTCAAAAAGTTCATGGAAAAATGGAATTAAGAGGTAATGGACTTTTTCCCACAAACTCATTTGAGCCCCTTCGTATTAACCCCCAAGCAAAGGACAAGCTCATTGAGGGTTTGCATGTTGTTTTCTCTATGAAGTTTGACATACAGACACCATGGGTCACCGTTCCCCCACATCCTCCTCTGAGAGCTCACAGGAGCATTGGAGCTCTGCTCTCAGCACAGTCAAGACAGACCAGCAGGGCCGAGACACCAAGCAGCAGAGGAAGGGGAAAGAATGCAGAACACAACAACCTCTATGCTTGAGAAGTTCAAAAAGAGACTATGCCACATCCTCATCCTGGATTGTCAAGAACTATTAACTGTGCAGAAGAGCCTCCATTTCCCTGCCTACCCAAGCCACAAAAAACAGAACTATCACTATTGAGGTATTTTGTGATCTAAAGAACATAAAAACACAACTCAGAGACTCACTGCTAAAATGATTCCTGGTTGTTTTAATAAAGACTGTCACCGAAGATTGAAGATTTGGG